GCGCTCCCCGCGCTCTTGGCTTGGCCCCCGCGCTCGTCCCTTCCGCTCCACGTGATGCTTTGGGGCCGAATTTCGCCCCTGGGTTGGGGCTGAGCTTGCAGTGCTGGTCGCGATTCCTCCAGCATGCTCGTCAGCTTGGTGCTGGCCATGCTCCCCCTGGGGTTCTGCTGGCCGCCGGCGCGACGAGAGGTGAGTTTGACCTCCAGAACATGCAGTTTCCAGGAAGGCTTTTGTGTTTCTAGGAAATTTTTATTTAAAAAAAAAGAGACGACGCAACATGTTCTAAGCCAAAATCCATCCAAGCCCACTAATCACCGAGATAAAGCTGTTTCCTCTGCGTGGCTGTTGCTTAGCACAGAATGAAGCCATGAGAACTTGGCGTGGAGACTTGTTGAGCTGTTTGCTGGCTTTGCTTTCCAGGTTGGGTTCAGTGAAACGATAGTCTTGTGTCCATGTGTTTTCCTTAAAAAAAGAAATGTAAGGCTATTCTTCTTCTTGCAGAGATTTCTCAGCGCTTTGGATGCCGAAGATGTTTTCTCTTACTTTGGGAGCAGCTCAGTGCCTGATGGTATGCAGGGCTCTGTCTCCTTCTTGGCTGTGGAACACATCTGTCAGTTTATTTCTAACCCTGTAGCTTTGACAGTGCTAAGAACACTTATTAACAACCCCTAATCTGACAAGCATTTGGTGTTTCTTAGGCCCATTGCACAGTGAGGCAATCTGAGTCTCAGTGTGAAAGGGTTGAAGAACTGGGTCAGAATTTAAAGTGCTGAAGGAGATATGTTCAATCTCATTGCACATTTGAGCTGTGGTTTCTGTTGTCTCTTCCCAATCACATTCTCCTCACTTTGGAATACATGAAAACACAGAAATTCTTTGACTGTTGACACCATGACCCCAAAAGCCTCAGTTGTTATCTGGAGAGTATTTTTCCTAGGGAGATAGACCATTACATTAGGGTTCTGTGTATCATCATTTCTCATAGCTGTTCCTCTTGTTCTCATCTTCTTTCATCTCTTTCAGTCCCTGAGTTTGTTGTGGCTGAGCCAACTTGTCTTTGCAAAGAAGAACAGGTTGGGCTGATGCCCTGTCGGATTCGACACTGCTCCATCGAGGCCTGGGGAGAGCTCTATGCCTTTGAATTTCTGGAGGATCATGCTCTCCTTTCCTCTTCCTTTGTGAGCAATCAAGTGGTGAACTCTTCCTTTAGCTTCCTGAGGAGATTCCCAGGCAACTGCTTTGCAGGTGGAAATGCCCTGCAGCCTCCTGGGGCCACCAGTAGAGTCACTTACTGTGAGGGGCAGCTGGTGAGTATGCACTGAACTTCTCACGAGCTGTTACAGCCTTTGGAGGTTTGCAGCAAAGGTGTGAACCATCCACTTAATAGATCTGAACATGACAAAGGAAGGATGTGGCACACAGCTCTCCAGTGATAGCAAATATCTTTGGAATAACTTAGAGATGGAATTTTATCTGCTTTAGCAAGGAGTTGTCACTGTGGATGAGGAAAAGATTCACATCAGGCCAGTCAGAAGCAAAGATGTGGCCCTGCTGAAGGACCTTGGCTTCTCCAGACCCCACATTCTCTTCAGAAGTGCTGCAAGAGAGGTCAAGAAAGCAAGAGGTAACATCCATGGAAAGGAAGCCCTGCTTGGAAAAGCTGTCTCCTGGCAGTGGGATTACTTGCATGAGCTCAGAGGAATATTTTCCCTGTATTTACAAATAAATGAGTAGACTTGAAAACATTTCTCACCTCACTGAGGTGCAACAGGTGTGTTTTCATGTAGGTAGTTGTTATTTTGAGAGCACAGGTGTGTTACTATGGATGCTGCCAGGTGAGAGAAACCATCACCAGTGGGAAACCTGAACAAGCAACTGGAGAAGTGTCTCCCAGCTGTGTTACTCTAGCCTTTGGGAGAAAGGAGTGGCTCTGTGGGACCTTCTGGTTGCATTTTAAACTCCCTTTGTGTCCCTTTGTGCTGCTCAGCAGGGTGGGCTCCTCCTCGCCTGCAGAAGAGGGCTGAGACAGCTGTCAAACATCTGGAGCTGATGGTGGTAGCAGGCCCAGATGTTTACTTGTACCACAAGGAGGACACTGAGCGATATATTCTTGCCAACCTGAACATTGTGAGTAGCTCTGTGTTCGGATTGCTGTCCCAGGCTGTGTCCCAGGCTCTGTGAGTGTGCAGGGTGTTCCTCTCTGCTTCCCTGGGCACTGCCTGGCAAATTGTGTAAGGAGCTGCAGGAGTTAAAGCAGATGTTAGAAGCTTTGGAGTTGCAGCCTTAAAACCCACATGGAAAATGGAGCTCTTAATTTCATTACAAATATTGTTGCAAGTCAGATGCAATAGCAAGAGTTTATCACCCAAGCCTTGATTCAGTCCCTGTTGCTTTCAGGGGATTGAACTAAATCCACTGAATTAATCTTGCATTTTAATTTCAGTGATTTATTTCTATTACAGTATTCTCCTAAATGTCTCCCTGTACTATTATTAAAATTTGTTTGTGCATTTTCTGTGTATCTACTGCAGAAAAATCTTTAGCATTCACTCTACCCTGTGGAACTGTTTTCCTTGCAAACTCTTCTCTCTGCCTCAAGAATATCTGTCAAGTCTAACAACAGTTCTCATCTCTTGACAGATTTATTTACACTTGTAGTGCATAGTTTAATGTTGTCCTTCCCAGTGATTTTATAGTTGCCCCTGATGGTTACCAGGTGTGTTATCTGCTCCTGGCAACAGGCAGTGGGAGTCACCAAGGTGCCTTCTGCATTGAATCCTTTCTGTCTCTTACCAGGGAGCAGAGCTGCTCAGAGATGCCTCACTGGGGGCTCATTTCAGGGTTCATCTCATGCAAATGCTGGTTTTGAGAGAGCCAGAGGTAAGCTGAGTTCTAGTGTGGGTCCAAGGGGTTGCTCCAAGCTGTTTGGAATGTGCCAACATGTGCCTTCACTCCAGGCAGAGGTAAACATCACCACAAACATCACCTCCTCACTGATCAGCGTTTGTGAGTGGAGCAAGAAGGTGAACCCCCAGAATGACTCTGACCCTCAGCATGCTGATATTGTCCTCTACGTCACCAGGTGCTGGAGCTCCCCTGCCCTGGGAGGGACTGGGAACTGGGTGATGGTGTTCAGGTCTTAGTGCAGTGATAGTGACTTGCACTGGGTCTTCAGCAGTTGGGTATCACAAAGTCTTTGGAAATGGGTTAATTCTGCTGTTTGGGACTGGCTCTCCTGCCCCCAGTGTAGTGCAGTTGGTCAGAGATGTTGTTTCTTCAGTTTCTGAAGGAACTGGAACATTCCCCAAGCGCTGCCCAGCCAGGCTGGAGCAGGCATTGCTTCCAGAGCAGTACAGCCAAACCCACTGCAGCTTTTTGTGGGCAGAAAAGTCAAACAGCAACTGGAAGTGAAATCCCACTGGTGTTTTCTATGCAGGATTCCTAGTGCTACTCCTACTCAGACATTTTGTCTGACTTTTAGGATCCTTGCTTCCAATTGCCTTGGCTAAATTTGTCAAATGCAAGATTTTCTTGAGTGTATTGGCTTTATTTTGGTGCTCTTTCACCAAAGAGATGGTTTTGAGCAGTGGGCACTAATGGGACTGTGCAACCATCTTGCCCCAGGGAGCTCCACGTGTCAAGGGAAATGTTAGGTAGCTGGCGAAGTTACACCAGGAAAGTGCAAATAAATTCAGTGCAGTGTCTAGACCCAACTTCATTAGCTGCAGTGATTGTTTGCTCTTTCCTCTGTATCTGCCTCCCTTATTTTAGGTTTGACCTGGAGTTACCTGATGGGAACAAGGAGCTCCGTGGAGTGACACAGTTAGGTGGAGTCTGCTCCTCCTTCTGGAGCTGTGTGATTACCCAGGACACTGGTTTTGACCTTGGAGTCACCATAGCCCATGAGATTGGGCACAGGTCAGTAGGAAAACCCCAGAGCAGTCCAGTAGGTTTTTTTCAGGTGAAGACATTCCTCAATTTAAGATATTCTGAGGAAGGAAAATAATCTCTTGACACAACAGGGAGTTTCTCATGGATTATTCTAAATTTATGGAAAGAGTTCCTTGCATTTCTTGCATTCCTGAACATTCTGTGACAATTAGAAGCTGCAAAGAGGAGAGAAAACCTTTGTGACAACGGTAGAAGGAAGGGCTGCAGAGGGAGCTCAGTCCTTGCTTAGAGAAGAGAGACTGAGGGAACTCAGCCTCTGGGTTTCTTCTCCTCAGGGCACTGTGCTCCTTCTGTTACAGCCTTGGAATTCCCCACGATGGAGAGGGGAATGGCTGCAGCAGCAGTGGTTACATCATGGGGTCAGCCGGAAACCACAACAGCATCGACCTCACCTGGTCACCCTGCAGTCGAGAACAGTTCCTGGCCCTTGTCAGGTAAGGGAATGGTCGAGTTCCCTGTGCTGGGAGTTTAGGAGAGAGCAGGGAAAGACAAAGAATTGTAAAAAAAAAAACAGTCCTGAAAAATGAAGCACAGTGAAAAGCTTGGGGTTTGTTTATTTGTTAAACCCAGTTTTTGCTCCACGTAGCTGGAAATGCCTTTGGTTAGTGACTGACATGCCTGGGCTGTGTTGGATTTCTCAGACACTAGCTCAGTCTGGACATTTCATTTGAAACATCAGAGCATCTATGTTCAGACAAGCATTGCAGGCTGTGTGCTGGCTGAGTGAAGAACAGGAATGGGTTATAACTTCAGCAGCAGGGAACTGTGAGCATCTCCAGGCAGCTGCTGCAACTAAATCCATCACAGCCCACAGCGAGCATGTGTTGTCTGGGAAAGCAACAGCCAACTCCCAGAATGAAACTCAGCACAAGTTTGCAAACATGTCATTGTCCTCACTGCCCACAGCTGGGAAAGTGATATTCCTTATGTTTCTATCAGTACAGGCCAAACAAACTGCTTAAATGACCTGCCGGACATGGACGGCAGCATCCCTGGATGGAAGCCTGGCTTGTACTACGGAGCAGATGAGCAATGTAAAATAGCCTTTGGGCGTGTTGCCACAGCTTGCACCTTTGCTGACAGCAATGTTGTAGGTAGAAAGTTTGTCTGTCTTGCTAAGGGCAGCAGGGAGATGTTCTGGAGCCAAGGTTCAGGAAAAGGGGGCTGGCAACGTTTTTATTCCGAAGGGATGGAAGGTGCTTTTCTGCCATGGATTTCTTGGCAAAGAATAAACCCTCAAAGGCTTAAAAAACACTTCCCTTCTCTCTGTCACCTCCTTCCTCCACATAAATCTCCTTTAAGGTTTGCACAGTTGGGTGCTGTTGTATACAGCTGGTCTGGCAGTGCTGGGCACACCTGCTCAGGGTCCTGCCTTGAGGAGCTCTGGGTCACTGGATTCCTTGAGCTTCCCTACCATGGCTCAAGTCCCCTTGTCTGAGAAACCCAGTGTGGCTAATAGCTGCCATCTGGACATGTTTTGTTGGTGAGGAAGTACTAAGGGTGGGTGAAGCTTTAATTGCTTCAGTTGATCATCTTCCAGCACTACAGCTGGCAGTGATAATCTCTGGACTTGCCCACAGCTTTTGCCCAATAGCAGGAAAAATGAAGGAACTTGCCTTGGGGTAGCTGTGGAAAAACCAAACACCCAGGATGTGGCACTACTTAAACTTTTGGGACTGCTGTGTTGATGAGCCTAGGTGACTCCCTGAACTTGCTGATTTTCTTGTCACTCCAGGACATATGTCAAGTTCTCTCATGCCATGTACAACCAGGAGACAAATCCAGCTGTACTCGGCTTCTTGTTCCCCTCTTGGATGGTACTGAGTGTGGGATCAATAAGGTAAGGAGGCTGATGATCTGATGCTCAGATTGTCAGTGGCTGGAAACTACATGGCACTCCCTGCACCTGGGCCAGGGAGCTGAGGCCAAACACTCCAGTCATGAACTGGTACCAGCTGATGTGGTGTTTCCACCTTGTCTGTGTCTCTGGAGTTGCTTTGCAGTTCTATAGCTTAATATCTGTGCTTTCCTCCAAGGCTTTGCTTTATACTATTTGTTTTAACCTCAAACTCATGTTAGATCCGAATTAGGAATGGGGTCCTTCAGCCTCTTGTGAGAAGGTGCCTCATTCATCTTGGCATTCTCTGTTACTGGCCTGCCAAAAGATGAGTACTTGTGCCACCCTTGTAGATCCCAGCACTGTGGTGCTGCTGCCAATTTTGTGTGTTGTTGGTCTTAGTGGTGCTTCAAGGGTCAGTGCAGCTCCTTGGAAGAACTGAACCCCATGGCTGTGGTCCATGGGCACTGGTCTGCCTGGAGCTCCTTCTCCTCCTGCTCCCGCAGCTGTGGTGGTGGAGTCATGGTGAGGCAGAGGTTCTGTAACAACCCCAGGTGAGAGGTTGGGACCTGCCAGGGTGTTGGCAGTGCCTCTTGGCTAGTTCAGGGACCAGCTCTTTGTTTGGGGCAAACCTAGCTCTGTTGAGAGGTTCTCCTATCCTTTCCAGGCCTGCTTTTGGAGGGCA